GTTCTTTTGGGTAGATGCCCAGTAATGGGATTGCTGGATCAAATGATAGATCTACTTGTATCTCTTTGAGGTATCTCCATATTGCTTTCCACAGACATCGCACTAGTTTGCAGTTCAGGGTACAGATCTTTTACTTCACTGGTTAAATTTATTCCTAAATATTTTGTTCATTTTGATGCTGTTAAAAATGGGATTGTTTTCTTAATTTCTTTTTCAGATAGATTATTATTGTTATAAGGAAATAGAACTGATTTTTGTATGTTGATTTTGTAGCCTGCAACTTTACTGAATTCACTTACTAGTTATAACAGTTTTTTAATGGAATCCTTAGGGTTTTCTATGTATAGGATCATGTCCTCTGCAAATAGGGATAATTTTACTTCTTTCTTTCCAATTTGGATGCCTTTACTTTCTTTTTCTTGTCTAATTGCTCTTGCTAGTACTTTCAGTACTGTCTTAAATAGAAGTGGTGAGAGTGGGCATCCTTCCTGATCTTAGGGAAAAAGCTTTTAGTTTTCTCCCATGGTTATGATATTAGCTGTGGGATTTTTATAAATAGCCTTTATTACATTGAGGAAATTTCCTTCTGTACCTATTTTGTTGAATGATTTTGTCATGAAAGGATGTTGAACTTTGTCAAATGCTTTTCTGCATCTATTGAGATGATTATGTGGTTTTTATCTTTCATTTATATTATTGCATTTGTTGTTTTGCATATGTTAAACCAACTGTGCATCCAAGAAATAAATCCCAGCTGGTCATGGTATATAATCTTTTTAATGTGTTGTTGAATTAGGTTTGCTAGCTTTTTTTTTTTTTTAAGACAGAGTTTTGCTTTGTTGCCCAGGCTAGAGTGCTGTGGCATCAGCCTAGCTCACAGCAACCTCAAATTCCTGGGCTCAAGCTATCCTCCTGCCTCAGCCTCCCAGAGTGCTAGGATTACAGGTGTGAGCCACCAAGCTTGGCCTCGGTTTGCTAGTATTTTGGGGGGAGGGTGGGTGGGTTCTATCTATGTTCATCAGTGATATTGGCCTATAGTTTTCTTGTGCTTTCTTTGTCTGCTTTTGGTATTAGGATAATGTTGGTCTCATAAAGTAAGTTTGGAAGTATTCCTTGTAATTCTATTTTTTGGAAGAGTTTAAGAAGATTGGTATTAATTGTTTTTGAATGTTTGGTGGAATTCAGTTGTGAAGCCATCTGGTTCTGGGCTCTTCTCAATACTTCAAAATTTCAGGTACTTATTAGACCTGCTGCTATATTTTGTTATTTAATGAGTTATTTTCAAAAAGCACATATTTCTGTACCACAAATTTGTCCTGTAATATTTTGATAATTTCTATGTGATGGGTTGCTTTTGTAATCCTATTTATCTTATGTATCTCAAATGATATTCTAAGAAATAGAGTTTACAAGCTTCTTCACACTGCCAAAAGGTCCATGTCACAAATAAGGTTAAAACTCCTAATCTAGAAACATCATGATTGAAATAGAGAATTTTTGTGACTTTCGTTTTTTTCTTTTGATCAGGTGTAGGTAATAGCAGTGAAGGTGGAAGAGGAAAGGCAGGTGCAAAACTTTTCCAGGATTTTCAGATGTTAAGTAGAATATGGACTCATCCTTGGTGTCTGCAGCTGGACTACATTAGCAAAGAAAATAAGGTAAATTGAGTAACCTAAAATTGTTTGAAAGGTATTTGTTGGAAACAGAAGAATATTAGGAGAAAGCCTGATATAGATTTAGTGTATATTCAAAATTTCTATTGCTTTGTTATACATTAATTCAGTCTCTTATTTCTATTTAACTTCTATATGTCTTGCATGCATTATAATTATGGAAGGAGTGTTCAATATTAATCTTTATTGAGCCCATTTTCAAAACTTTTTAATTTGAAATAATTTTATATTTACAGAAAAGTTGTAGAAATAGTTCAGAGAGTTCCCCTTGTATCTTTGACCTGGTTTCCCCTAATATTAACATCTTGCATAACCATAATAAAGTTATCAAAAGTAAGAAATTAACTTTGGTGCAATAACATTAACTAAATAACATACTTTATTTGGATTTCATGAGTGTCTCTACTTATGTCCTCTTTGTTTTCTGTGATCTAATCCAGGACCTCCTGTTGCATTTAGTAGTCATATCCTGTCATGTCTCCTTTGTCGTCTCTAATCCATGATAGTTCCTTAGTCCTTCCTCATCTCATGTCAATTAACATAGTCTTAAATGAAATAAAAATCATTATCATTTCCAATATAAGTTGAAATAAACTATTAAAACATTCATTTTTTTTTCTCTAGGGATATTTTGATGAAGACAGTATGGATGAGTTTATAGCCTCAGATTCTGATGAAACCTCCATGAGTTTAAGCTCCGATGATTATACAAAGTAAATTGAATACTTTTTGTGTCCTGTATTGACACGTTTAAACCCCTACCGACTGACTGTCCTCTGCTAATTGGCATTTGTATCTTTACTATGCTTTCTTAACAATCCGAATGTGTTCTTTTTTTAGAAAGAAGAAAACAAAGGGGAAAAAGGGGAAAAAAGATAGTAGCTCAAGTGGAAGTGGCAGTGACAATGATGTTGAAGTGATTAAAGTTTGGAATTCAAGATCTCGAGGAGGTGGTGAAGGAAATGTGGATGAAACAGGAAACAACCCTTCTGTTTCTGTAAAGCTGGAAGAAAGTGAGTCTGATGAATTTTGCCTTTATCATGGGACATTGATTTAGAAAATGTTATGTCCTTAGTGTTTTTTTCAGTCACTTATTATCCTCACTAGTTGGCTCAAAGGAATTTCTTTACTCAACTGGTAAAAGTCTAGGATAATTAGGTACACATAATTACAACAAATATCTAATGAATGTTTAATTATAGGCAAGCCACTGTGCACTTTCTAGTATTTGTGAGGAAAGGAAAAAAAGAAAAATTAAAAAAACTAATGTTTATTTACATGTATGTTTCCAAACTCTATTATTTTCCTTCTCTGTGTTAGCTAACTGAATTCTTGAGTAGCCGTGCCATGTAGTTGATATCTTTAGTTTTATGAATGAGTGATAGAAATGGGATTCAGACCTCGATATGTCTAATTTCAGAGTCACCATGATATTTTCACTTAGTTCTGTGGTAATAACTGGAAGTATTTCAGGTAGTCAAGTGTGATTGTAGTTATACAGTAAAACTAATTTTAATCATTTAATCTTTTTTCTTTGTAATTCTTCATGATCCGTAATTGTTGTCTACTTTAGTTTTCCCCTGTATTGTTTACTGTTTGTGTAACCTCTTTTGCTTCCTTTTTCACTCTTGTGCATGAAAGTGAAAGTCTTAGATTGAACTCCCCAGGGGTTTAAGTTGCCTTTACTCATATGTAAGTTAAAGGATTAGCGTTGAGACTGTATCCTCCTGCTGCAGCCTGTGTCTCTCAGAGCTTAAAAGATAGGATCTAATATTTGAATATTTGAAATATCAAATAACTGAAGAGAGAACAATGTAATGGCTCTAAATATTTGGAATTTGGGCATTGTGGAACAAAGCAGGTAACCATCTGTAAGGAGAAGAGGGATGTGGGGGCCAGCTAAATGTGTGATCCTGTGATCAAACAAGCTTGGCTGGTCTAAGGCCTGCAGCTGAACTAACTTGATGATTCTTTTATAAACATTTCTCTCTTAAGTACCTCCATGGAATAAACAGATGGCAGCCTAACCACAGACCCTGGTGACTCTTAAGAAATCAGGGGAATAGTAAAAATTAAACTGCAAGATTTCTTTCCTTCTTCTCTCCTGCTACCCCAGAAAGGCAGTTTACTATCAGTGTTCATCTTCCAATTAGATATAAAGAATATTTTTACCAGAATAGTAAAGAAATGGTTATAGTTTAATTTAAGGTAATGGAAAGTTCCTCTTATCTCCTCCCTTGATCCCCCCAATTTGTCTTTTCCACTTAAATTCCTCAGTCTGTCATCTCATCACTAAAAATAGAGTTTATAAGTTCCTGGGCATGATTTTCTTAAAATACTTCTTGTTGAAATTTTCTGTCATATCTTGTGGTTAAGAGGAGAGAAAGAGTAGACCACCCGTGTGCATAGTTCTATGCTACATTTTAGTTGTATGTAAATAGAAATCATTTATATATGGGTGTATTTTATATTTCTTGCAGCTTATATACATGTATAGTTTATCACAAACATTCTCTAGAACTAATAGATGATAAAAATCTATTTTTGTTCTTCAGATCTAAATAAACTCCATGTAAAACAGTATATCGTATTATATGAACATATCTAGCTGACTAACTTTAAAAAAAATCACTGTCTTATAGTAAATGTAAGAAAAATCAGAGGTATTAAGGGACCAAAATGTTGCACTTGGAATTTGAAATTGATATTAAATAATTAGATGACTTTAATTGAGCTGTTATATGATTTTCCCTATATATTTCATTTTCACTTCAAAGAGTTGCTGTTTTCTTTAATTCTTATGTAGTAGATTTCTGATTTTTCTGAGAAGCAGCATCTTGAATAAGTCATTTAAGTTTGCCTTACATCATCCCCATTTCTGGGTTTTAAGTGTCTAATTAGAAGGAAAATTTTGTGATGAGGAAATGACTATGTAACTTGCTTCAAAGTGTCAGATTTATTATTACTTCAGTATTTTTAGAGTAAAGTTTCATTGGTAAGCATTTACATTTTAGAATATATGTAATTGTATGGATATAAACTTTTGTTACAGAATCCTTGTATATGATGTAGGGCCATAATATTAGCACTAATACACCATATTTATTCACACAACAAATGTCTATGGAATGCTTACTATGTGCCCCAGGTACTATTCTAGAGGCTTGGGTTATATCAATGAACAAAATGCATTTATGGAGCTTACCATTTTACTGCTACTATATATACACATAACAGTTTGTTGATATACTACTTTCTTTTTAAAATTACAGTGTATCTTGCTGCAAATGCAATAAACGACCTTTTATTTAAATATTTATTTAGGATGCATCAAGACATTAAGGATAAAGGCACAGCCTTCTATTTGTTTTGTATTTCATTTTTGCTGTACCACCTAAAGACGTTGTGATATCCAGAGTGTATATTAAATAATGACTTTAATTAATTAACTAATTCATTCATTGTTACTTGTCCTGTATATATACATAGCAGAGTTAAAAAAGAAGTCATGATTAATCCATGTGGATGATGAAATACAAAAGTTCAGCATAAAACATACATACTCAGATATTTATTAATATTAATTGGAGTAGCCCATATTTCTCTGGATCACTTTTTTAAGACATTGCTGTAAGATATTGTGATAATATCCAGTAGAAATAAAATTAAAATGAAATCTATTATATTTGCACAGAAATTGTCACCCGTCCTAAGCCTTGAGACTCTTACCCAGCTGCCACATTTTTACTAACTTTCTGCCAGCATATTTTAAGTTCTGATATTTTCACCTTAAATAAAGTATCTTTAATACATTTGGGTAACAATTACTGAAGCTGTGTGTAATCTGTGGAAGTTCAGAATTTCCCAAAGCTACTGATTATTGACTAGTTGACCAATTGTGAAAAAGAGTTTAGTCAACATTTGCTTTATGTATCAGGGGTCCCTAAGACCACCGCTAGGCTTAGTGATTAACTAGAAGACTCACAGGACTCAGCATATAGTCATATTCAGGACTATGATTTATTACAACAAAAGGATACAAAGCAAAATCAGCAAAGAGAAAAGGCACATGGGGTGAAGTCCAGAGGAAACCAAGTACAACCTTCCCAGAGTCTACTTCCAGTGGAGTCACACACGATGCGCTAATTTCTTTAGATTGAGTTGCGACAACATATATGAAGTGTTGTCTACCAGAGAAGCAAGGTAGAGAGACTCAGTGCCCATGGTTTTTACTGGGGAGTGGTCACCTAGGCACTATCTGCCTGGCTCTTAGCAAATTCCAGAGTCCCTCAAGGAAAGCATGTATTCAGAATAAAGCATATTGTTTATACAAACAATCTAGGCACAGTGAGCCACTGTTATCAAGGAAAGTTTTATATCAATATGAGGGAGATATGTTTACCATTCATGTTCCCAGACACCAGCCAAGGGCCATCCTTGCATGGAAGCTTTTTTGAGATGATGAAATTTGAGTTGACTAGAAGGACAGTAAGGCATGAATAGAATTTTGCCTAGCAAAGAGGGGGAGAACATCATATAAGAAATTCAAGGGAAGGTATGGAATTGTACAAATATGTAGCATGTGTAAGCAGTAATTCATTGTGGTTTGAATACAGATGCATAGTGAGCTCTCTAAAAGTAATGGAAATCACCAGGGCCCAGACACAAAGAAGAAACTTGTGAACCAAAAAGGTAAATTCAAGAAGGTATGCTATGGAAGCCCTAGGGATATCTAGTCTTGAGACTAGCAACTTTGGTTTTCACCTAGCCAGGGACAGGATACAAGATGGCCTCAAGCCCTCTATAAGGTGGTGAGTTCTTAAACCCCTTCTTAAAGCTGTATACCTTTAAAGGGTACATATTCCATGGAAGAATAGGATACCAAAAAAATTGCTTGTCAATTTGGGAGATGACAGGGAAGCTTATCTGTTTCAGTTTGGGCTCTTAGTTGGAGAAAATGGATTCACTGGTGGCTTGATCTCACATACTTTATGGTTTGAATTTATATGACTCATGTGGTCTAAAAATCCCAAGCTGAAATATTAACCTCTAAAGTAATTATAGGTTGATAATCCCTTGGGGCACCTGGCGGAAGCAAATAGAGAGTCAATCTGGAGATCTATGACCTTAACCTAGACTACCTAGGAGTCTCAGAGTATAGCTACACCTGAGAAAACAACCTTAGGAAAAGCTAGCAACAAAAAGTGTTAGCAGTCAACCTGAGGAAAGTTAGCACACAAAACAAATAGCATGATTAGATTCTTAAGAACTTTGAATAATAGAGCTATTGGATAAAGACTATAAAATAAGTATGTCTAAATTAATATTTTAAAAATCATAAGTATAACTTTATGCCAGAAAATTTTAAACTTAGATAAAATGTACAGTATTTAAGAAAAATATAACCCAACAACGTTGAGTGTTCATTGTAGTTTTTTCATAGTAGCCAAAAATAAGCAGCAACCTAGACGTCTATGAATAGGAGAACTGATAAATGATGGTATATTATTTATGCAGTGGAGTACTACATGGCAGTTAGAATGATTGAATGGGAGCCCCATGACAAACCTGAGTAAGTATCACTTTGAGTAAAAAGCTTCATTGAGTGAAAAAGTTATTTGCAGGGGAAAAAGAAAAGAAAAGTTATTTGCAGGATGATACAAATAATATGGTACCATTTATATATGGTTTTAAAACACGCAAAGATGATGTATTGTTTAGGGATACACATGCATTAATAGTAAAAATATGAAAACATGCAGAGAAATGGTAAATATAGAATTCAAGGATTTAGTTATCTATCAAAAAGGAGGAAGGGAAAGAGAATGGGATTGGGTAGGGTCACATATTAGGCTTCAGCTATATCAGAAGAAGATTTAACAATGTTAAAATTTGATGAAGATGGGATGTGGAAGCATAGCTATTCATTATATTCTATATACTTTTCTTAGTATTTAAATTTTTATAACAAAAATATAAATTTAAAGTACTTAGTGTTAAAAATCAATTGAGAAAGTATATAAACAGGATTAAACATGTACATTCCTTATCTTAAATCAAATTATTTATATTTAAATCTTTTAATAGATTAGGTGATAGTTTGTGGGGAAAATATGTAAGGACAAAATCATTTAACCATGGTATGGCAATTCTGGGGTCCATTCCTGTTTACGTTTTCCAGAATCCTAGTCGCACAGTAAAATGTTTCCTCTCCCAAGGTCTTTTCTCTCTCGATCTCTGAATCTCTCTGTCTCTGTTGATTCTTGTCTCTTGGGGTGTGTTTGAGGGGTATTACTCTCTCAGGGCCTGCGAGGGTTTCCTATCTCTTGGGGTCTCTGTCTTTCTAAACTCCCCACCCCTATCCCCAGAGTCTGCCTCTCACACTTACATTCTCTCAGGGTTCATCTCTTGCTTGTTCTCTCACTTGGCATTTATCACCACCCTTCCTGTCTTTCTTTCAACCTCCCTCCCCTACTTCCTGTCTGTCTTTCTCTGTCTAGAGCTTTCTCTCTGTGGGTAGTCTCTCTTTTTATGCTACATGCATGCATTCCTGCCTGTTACCTTTTCCCTCCCCTCTCCCAAATCTCCATCAGTCTCTTTCTTTCTTAGTCTCTTTGGGTTGATCTATTTCTGTCTCTCTTGCTCACTTTCATTTTCTTTCCTGATTTACCTACTTATTTATATTCCATTTATTTTATTTAGGTAAAGCTACTTCCTCTTCTAATCCAAGCAGCCCAGCTCCAGATTGGTACAAAGATTTTGTTACAGATGCTGATGCTGAGGTTTTAGAGCATTCTGGAAAAATGGTACTTCTCTTTGAAATTCTTCGAATGGCAGAGGAAATTGGGGATAAAGTGTAAGTGCTTTCCTATATTTATTATATAAATGAACCTTTCTATTGCTTAAACAATTTATTTGAACAAATCTATTATGTTTTTTTTCTTTCTAAAGATATGTACTTTCTTTGGTTATTATAGTGCTAGGCCAGTACAAACAACTGTCTTTCTTGTAAGCCACTAGTTCTGACTGAATATTTAGATTATTTCTTCATTGCTGTTTTCTGCTTTTAGCTTATTGCATCTTGAGCTTGTTTCCTTGAGTCTAGCTTTTAATTGATGTCTGTGTTTTGCCATCTTCAAAATTACTTTTCAGTCCATGTAGTGTGGCTTCTACCCTGATATTACACTTTACTGAGATTTTCCCCCCTAAAGTCACTAGTGACCTTCTAATCCCCAAATCTGGTGGACAGCTCTCAGACTTTATTTCACCTGTTTGATTATTCTTTATCATTTTTCCTTTCTTTTTTGTTCCTGTTTGTTTTACTTCTAACATTTGTGCCACCATTCCCTTCTCTGCATCTCCACCTCCAATCTCACCCTAAAAATTACTATTCAGAAAACATATTTTTAAGGTTCCGAACCAGACTTATTTTCTAGGCTATTGTAAGGTCTCAACATCTGATTATAACATAGTTTTAAAAGGTATCTGTGATGCTCTCAATAATTTAATATAAGGCTAAACTAAAATAATCTTTTATCTTTAAAGAAAATCAAACTTGATTTCTTTAACCTCCTGGAAAGAGGCAAAACCTCCCGTTATATTCCAATACCATTTTTTAATATACCTCTACTCTACTCTTAACGCATTTTAATGTACCTGTTTATATGTCTTTCCATTGGATAATAAGCTGTTTGAAGACACAGACTGTTTTATGCTTTTTTATTAACCACTATACCTGGCACCTAGTAAGTGCTCATTAAAAGTTATTTTGGTTGTATATTGCCACAGTATTTACACAGAAACAAGTGGTTCAGGTAAGGGATGATGTCGGCATACTATTAATACGACTACAGTGGTAGTCATGGAGACAAAGGATATGTTTTGGAGTAGAAACAATAGGGTTAGATAGATTAAATACAGGGCAGTAAGGAGAGAGTAGTCAAAGAATGTCTCCTAGGCGTCCAGCTTCAGCGGCTGGTGGATTGTGGTATTATTTACTATGATGTAGAAGATTAGGGAGAACTAAGTTTATTAGAGGAAATAAAGACTTCTGCTCTGGCTATGTTAAGTTTGAGAGGCCTATTAAGTATCTTGAGAAGTGTCAAGTAGGAAGTGAATATTGGAGTTCAGAGTTCCTGAAAGGTCAGATGAGATTATTGTTGTAGGCATGGTTTTTTTTTTTTTTTTTTTGCTGTCAACTTCTGTGATTTAAAATTAATTTTTACTTGGCTTCTATATAAGAATTTTAAAATGGGAGAAGGATTTTAGTTGTCTTTTAATTTCCTACCTAGGGCAGGAATTTCTTCTACCATGTTCATAACAGATGTCCTCGTAGCCTCTCCTTTGATAGAATATTTGCCATCTCAGAAGGCTCCCTACAGTTGAATACTTCAAAACTGTTAGGATATGTGTCCTTATCTTTAGCTTAGGCCTTACCCCTATGGCTGTCTCCCCTTTTGTCTAAAGTACAATGTATCTTCTACTAATTTTTTTACTCTTATTTTTAGGTATAAGCTGAACTCATAGATATTATCAATGTTAACACTATAAAACTGTATTTCTAGAATTGTGATTAGTGCTATTCTTTATTTGTCTAACATTTTATTGTGGATATTTGTAAACATACCAAAAAGCGGAAAGAATTTTATAGTGACTACCAATATACTCATCACTTGGATTCTATACATTTTACTGTACTTTCTTTATCATACATCTATCTGTTTAACTCTCTATCCCTCTATTTATCCATCTTATTTTCTTGATGCATTTTAGAGAAGTTTTGAGACATCACAACTACTACTTAAATTGACTTCTCCTTTAGACAGTGGTGTTTATCTCTCCTGTGACTTTTAGCCTTTTCCTCTCATTTCCTTGATCTGTTCTTTGTATGCCATAATTTCAGTCCTGACCACATGGTCATGAATATACTTCAGTTTGTTAGCTTCATCTCACAGTCTCAGAAACAGAACACTTCAACTGAGTTCTTATTAACCCAGTTATATTCTGGACCCTGTACTTCCATTCATGCAGTCCAATATAGAGGTGTTTTGTCGATATCTAAATAGCACTATTGGTTCATATTGAACTTGGTCAGCTAAGACTCTTCTATTTTAGAAGAATTGCTATCAAATCAGATCCCCCCATTCTCTGTTTGTACAGTGGATCTTTTGAACCCAAATGAAAACTTGATATTTCAGAGAGCAAGAGATAATCAAATTTTAGTGATTTTAGCCAATGATGTGCTATTAAATGTTTAACAACTGGCTCTCCCTCTCCCCATAATAATAATAATAATAAGAAGAAGAAGAAGAAGAAGAAAAGGCAAGCAAATAAAAAAGAAATGCCCTGATTTGTAGCATTTGCTATTCCCATGGTATAAATATTCCCACCATAGCCAATTTCAAGCTACCAGCATTAGTTCAGAGGTGGGAGGAGACGCTAACAATCAACTCTTCCTACTTCAGGGTAGTTACAGCCAACTCCAGTACACACTGATTTCAGCTCAGCCCTTCTGACTTATTTGTTTTCTGTCATATAAATATTAAATTTTGATTGAATCTTTATTCCCAACTTCTTGTTATACGTGAATTTGATAAGTATTTCTTTTATATTTCCATGTGAATCATTAATAAAACAGATAAAACCAAAATGGTTTATGCAGGTATGAAAATTATCAATCAGGACAATAGTTCTTCATGTTGTCTACAACTAGAAAAGGTTAGCACAGATGACCATTAGTATATAGACATTTAATCCTAACAACTCTTTACCTTTTTCACAGTGCGACTTGTCTAAGTTCAGTGGTTTCCAGAAACAGCCTTAATCGCTAACTGATTCAGATCAACCTCTTTCCAGCATAGTAACTCAAATTCTAGGTTAATTCCAATTAAATAATTAGTATTTCTAAGAAGTTAAGTTTCCTACTTATAGGAACTGTCTAGAACTTAACTTATAGCTCATAAAGAATCAATTCAGGCCGGGTTTGGCGGCTCACGCCTGTAATTCTAGCACTCTGGGAGGCCGAGGCGGGTGGATCATTTGAGCTGAGGAGTTCGAGACCAGCCTGAGCAAGAGTGAGACCCCGTCTCTACTAAAAATAGAAAGAAATTAGCTGGACAACTAAAAACATATATAAAAAATTAGCTGGGCATGGTGGCACATGCCTGTAGTCCCAGCTACTTGGGAGGCTGAGGCAGAAGGATCGCTTGAGCCCAGGAGTTTGAGGTTGCTGTGAGCTAGGCTGATGCCACGGCACTCTAGCCCGGGCAAAAGAGTGAGACTCTGTCTCAAAAAAAAAAAAAATTTTTTTTTTTGATTCTGGAAAAGATAAACTACTAAAGGGTCAAGGCATAGGCCTTTCTTTAAGCTAAGCACCAGGAGTCAGTTCATTTCTTTATCAGCATTCTAGAAGTAGGCAACTGGGAGATAGTGCAGAACTTAGAAAGCCATACAATAGAAGATGCATATGTGTTTCAGTCCAATAGCTATTTCATAGCTTCAGTTCTTTTTAGTGCTACTAAATCTGAAGACATCTAGCAGTATGTGTTGAAGATTTTCTGGAGTCATAACCACCTTCCTCTCCTATAGTATAGCTTTCAGAATCAAAAGAAAACTTAAAGAAAGCATGCTTGTCATAGGTATATAGTTTCTTGTATACTGACCTACTTTTGCTTGCATATATGAGGGAGAGAAGGAGACCTCCTACATTTTCTTTCATTTTTTTCGTTTCCAGTGGGTAATTATGTCCATTTACTTCTCACTAAGTAGTGGTTAGATTAGAGTAGTGGTTTGCAAACTTTCTCAGAGCCCCTGCAAGTTGGTGACCTTAGAGCAGAAGGTGAGGGAACAGATATTTTTCCTTCTTTTCCCATAGTGCCTAAAGCAGCTTGATTTTATTATTTATTTTATTTTAACTCCACATAAAACTTCATGTGAACAAATAGTTCTTTCATGGCTAAAAAGGACTTAGATAACTGCTAGATCAAGAATCAGGAATTTTGGACATAATTGAAATGGAATGACAAAGTGTTGTAGAATGCATATAATTTTAAATTACTAAAATACTTTTAATAGGAACAACTTTTTTAATATTCTTTAAACAGATGAAATTTATCTAATTTATCAACTTTTTTTTAACCAGTCATACTTCGTGTCATGTGTAAAAAGTTGTTTGCTTAATCCAAGTTACGAAGATTTTCTTCTGTGTTCTTCTCAGCATTCTGTAGTTTTTACATTTTACATTTAGATTTATGCCACATTTTGAGTTAATTTTTGTATAAAGTATGAGCTTTAGGTCAAACCTCATTTTTTTGCATATGGATATCCAGTTTTGCCTAGACCATTGTTGAAAAGACTGTCCTTTTTCCATTGAATTACCTGTGCCCTATTGTCAAAAATCAATTAATCATATAGTGTGGCTCTATATCTGGACCCTATTCTGTTCCATTGATCTGTGCCTGTCCCTTCACCATTACTACACTGTCTTGATTACCTGTGTGAGTATTGAAATCATGTAGAGTTAGGCCTCCAACTTTGTTTTTCTTTTTCAGAATTATCTTAGCTACTCTATATTTGGCATTCCCGTATAAATTTTACAATCATGTTATTTCTACACAAAAAATCCTGCTGGGATTTTGATTACAGTTGTGTTAAATTTGTACATCAGTTTAGGAAGAAGTGATATCTTTACTTGGTGAATCTTCCAATCCACGAACACTAATCTGTTTTTTTAGCCTTGTTTTTAGCCAGTCCCTCATATCTCTGGACTTGATTGAAGATTTTCTTGAATTGGCTAGTAGGGAGAAGACAGAAGATAAAGATAAACCTCTTATTTATAAAGGTGAGCTACAAACACTTATATATTTTGTTTTTTAAAAATACTCAAAACATATCATACAAACATTTAACAGATTTTTATTGTGTATGTTTGAGGTTTACAACATGATATTATAGGATATATATAGATAGTAAAATGTTTACTGTAGTGAAGTGGATTAATATATCTATCATCTCACATAGTTTGTTTTGGCGATAAGAGCAGCAAAAATCTACTTAGTTAACAAAAATCCCTAATAAAATAGTCTTTGTTGTTGCAATTGTGGAATAAATTAAAATTTTTGCCTTTTTAAACAGCTTTAATCAAGTATAATTCATATCCTGTACAATTAACCCATGTAAAGTATAAAATTCAAAGGTTTTAGTATATTCACAGATATGTGCAATCATCACCACAGTTTTTGAACATTTTAATCACCACCATATAAAACCCTGAACCCTTTATTATTTCCCTCTCCCCTACTCAACTCCCTCACACATAAGCAACCACTAATCTACTTTATGTCTCTAATAGATTGACTTATTCTGTACTGTTCATATAAATGGAAACACATAATATGTGGTCTTTTGTGACTGGCATCTTTCACTTCACAGGCAGGGTTTTGAAGAGGTATTTGTACACCCATGTTTATAGCAGCATTATTCACAATGGCCAAAAGGCGGAAGCAACCCAAGTATCCATTGACAGATAAATGGATAAAAGGAAGGAAACTTTGATACATGGTGCAACATAGATGAATCTGTTATGCTGAATGAAATAAACCAGTCACCAAAGGACAAATATCATATGATTCGTATTAATGAGGTTCCTAGAGTAGTGAAATTCGTAGAGACGTAAAATAGAATGGTGTTTGCCAGGGGCTGTGGGAACGGGGAGATGGGGTGTGAAAGATCACATAACAAGGCTTCCCAGAGTGCCTCATGGTGTATGGGAACTCTCGTTAAAAATCTGTCATCAAGCACAGATTCACTATTAGTTATCCATTTTGCATCTCTGTCTAGCACTAAGCTCGACATGCATGTAGTAGGTCCATAGTAAATACCTGTTGAACTGGCAAGGAAATAAATTACCCTTATCTGGATCTTCCCTCGTTTTGTTTACATAGAGAATAATGCACTAATTATGCATTTTCTTATGTGCCCCTTACATTTCAGTGCTAGGTATATACTAGCACCTTTTATCTTGCTTATCCTCTCCTTTTTTGTTGCTAGCATCCCTTATTGGCATATTTTAACATATATATGTGTAGTGTGTTTGTGTAATTCCTTAAGTTGACTATAGTTAAGAACAATCTTAGCTTGAATATGTTTTTCTATTATCATTATGTATTTTATTACTCAGATCGTTTGTTCTGGCAGTGTTTCATTATCTCTGCCACCATTAATAAATGGAAAAATGTCCCTTTTAATATGTATACCTGTAGTATTGTAATTACATGTGTCTCTATCTTTAATGGGTAAAAACAATTCACATTGTTCTAATTTGTATTTTTCTGACCACTAATAAGGTTGTATATTTTTTTCATATGCTTGCTAGTTTATTTCTAACCTTATAAATTGTCTTCAGCAAACATTTGTTTTAACTATCAGTCAGGTTGGTCTATCTTCTGAGTTACTACTATTACTACTACCACTAACGCTAGTACTGTTTATTGAGCACTGAGCTAGGTTCAAGGGGTACTACAGGAAATCATTACGTGGTATTAAGGGGAATCAAACACACATAATATTTGCCATAATAGAGATAGATATAATTTACTATGGGATCTTACATAATATTAAGTGCTCAATAAGCTTTTGGTGTTGTTTTTTTGTTTGTTTTGAGACAGGTCTCGCTCTGTTGCCCAATCTAGATTATAGTGGTATCATCATAGCTCACAGCAACCTCAAACTCCAGGGCTTAAGCCATCCTCCTGCCTCAGCCTCCCAAGTAGCTGGGACTATAGGCATGTGCCACCATGCCCAGCTGATTTTTCTATTTTTTTTGTAGACATGAGGTCTCGATCTTGCTCAGGGTGGTCTCGAACTCCTGGCCTTAAGCAATCCTCCTACCTTGGCCTCCCAAAGTGCTAGGATTACAGGTGTGAGCCGCACACCTGGCCTCAATAAGCTTTTAATTACTTTGTGACAGGGACTATTGTAAGTGGGTTTTTAAAAAATATTAATTCATTTAATCCTTACAGCAACCCTGTGCAATCAATAGTTACTCTGATTATCTCCATTTTTGTAAATAAAGAAACTGAGGCACAGGAGTTTAATTATTTGCCATAGTGAGAATGTTAGTAAATGGTGAAACTGAGATTATACTCAAGGAGTCTCACTCCAAAGTCTGTATTCTTAACCAGTAACCTATATTGACTATCAGGTTGTAAGTGTTGTATGCATGGAGGTAGTATTATTAGAGATTGTTCATTTGCATTATCACAAAAGGTGAGTATGTTGAAATGCTTTTTAAAATAGTCATATCATTTTCAATTCATTTATGATTAGCATATTTACCTTAATAATTATCCGGTTAGAGTGAACAATTAATGCGAATGTGACTCTAGCCTCTTACCTTTTTATCCAACCATCTGTCTCAAATTCTTTTTTCCTTGGATGTGTATGCTTTTTTTCTAATTGAAAGAAATAAAAATCATAAATAAAATTACTTTCCTAGACATTGCTGAATTTTTAGCAAGGAAATTCTAGGTTTTCAATATCAGTAAAGACATGGGTAAGTAATCAATGTGTGGAAAAGCATCTTTTTAACTAACTAAATTTAAAGAGTTTACTGAAAAGACATAAGTCTCAGTTTTGTTAACCTGTCTTTAAGTCTCTAGGATAGGGCATTATAATATGAATTTTGTTTAGATGAGAAATAGTAGTATTGTGTTTACAATTAAAGAATTAGGATAGAAATTATGATACAATATAAAAATATCATAAACTCTTAATCTGTCAGTATTTTAATATCAATACAAGTATCGGGTGAAATTTTAGCTGTCTAAAATTGACATATTAGATCACTAATTTATAAAGTTGCAATCCTTTACACACACACAAAAATACTCATGAAATGGTAACATATGCTGACATTTGTGGCTAGCCTGTAGAATAGTTTTGGGCACATAGTAGGCATTCAGTAAATATTTGTTCAGTGAATGTATAAAGGCATTCTTTGTCTCTATTTTTTATCTGATTATTTTCAAGTCATTAATAAGGGGGGAAAACCTGGCCATTTATAGATTTAATTAAAAGCAAGCCTCATGATCAAAATGTAATTTGATCATATTCTTGTGGATTCTAATCAAGAAAACCCATTTAAGAAATTCTCCTGTAGATGAAATAGGTTTTAAAAATAGTTGTAGTCATCAATATCTATTTGAATGAAATCTGTGGTGAATTTATTTGTAATATAATTACTCCTTGATTAAGAAAAGTATATACTATATTTTGCTATACAAATAGAATATTTATATATAACCCACTTTTAAATAGTGAGCAAGGAGAAAAATCTACTAATATTAGCAGAGCAATTTATCAAATCACTTTTGTGCTTTTTTTTTGTTTGTTTGTTAAATTTTCAGGTGAAGGGAAGTGGCTTCGAAACATTGACTATTACCGTTTAGATGGTTCTACTACTGCACAGTCAAGGAAGAAGTGGGCTGAAGAATTTAATGATGAAACTAATGTGAGGTAGGAAAAATTTTCTGTGTGCGTGTGTGGAGAGACAGAAAGAGAGGGGTTTTTTTGTTTGTTTTTTTTTTGTTTTCTGAGACAGAGTCTTGCTCTGTCACCCTGGTTAGATTACAGTGGTATCATCATAGCTCATTGCAGCCTCACACTCCTGAGGTCAAGTGGTCCTGGTCCTCCTGCCTCAGCCTCCCGAGTAGCTGGGACTACAGGCATGAGCCACCATGCCTGGCTAGTTTTTTCTGTTTTTAGTGGAGACAGAGTCTTGCGCTCACTCAGGCTGGTCTTGAACTCCTAAGCTCAAGTGATCCTCCCACCTTGGCCTCCCAGAGTGCTAGGATTACAGGCCTGAGCCACCGGGCCCGGCCCCTTGTAGCCTTTTTAGTCTCACTTCTTTCACTTAGTGAAATGCATTTGTGATTCAGCCATGTTCTTGCATATGTCAATAGTTTGTTTTCATTTATTGTTGCATAGTATTCCATTGTATGGATGTATCACACTTTGTTTAGCTGTTTCCAGTTGAGGGACATTTGAGTTGTTTCCAAAGAATTAAAATTGAAGCTACTCTAAGCATTCATGTACAAGTTTTTGGGTGAACATAGGTATTTACTTAAGTGAAATGAAAACCCAGGGTTGCAATTGCTGCGTTATATGGTAAGTTTATGTTTGTCTTTGTAAGAAACTGCAAGTTTTCTTAAGTGACTATACAATTTTCATTTCCACCAGCAACACATGAGTGTTCCAGTTGCTCTGTATCCTTGTCTGCACTTGGTATTGTCATATTTTTTAAAAAATTATTTTACTCACTCTAATAGATGTGTAATGGTATCTCTTGTGATTTTAATTTGCTGTTACCTAATGATAAATGATGTTGAGCATCTTTTCATGTACTCTTATGAACATTTTTATATCATCAACTATAGATATAGGGTGTGTTTACATTTGTGTTTACATCATTGATGTTGCTTTTTAATTGTTAGTAATTGACAAAATCAGACTGCATTTGGAAAAGAAAAATTTATACATACAGTCATGTGTCGCTTAACAATGGTAATACATTTGGAGAAATATGTTGTTAGGCAATTTTGCATTGGGTGAACATCCTAGAGTATACTTACACAAACCTAGATAGTATAGCCTACTAAACATCTAGGCTGTATGATATAGCCTATTGCTCCTGCACTACAAACCTGTGCAGCATATTACTGTACCGAATACTGTGGCAATTGTAATGCAATGGTGAGTATTTGTGTATCTAAACATATCAAACATAGGAAAGGTACAGTGAAAATACGGTATTATAATCTTATGGGACCACCATCGTATATGTGGTCTATCATTGACCAAAACATTATGTGGCATATGACTGTATACATAGATACACACATACATATGAGGGCTGTCTAGAAAGTATCCAGCCATTGTTAATATAACAACTCATATTACATGGCTGGATACTTTCCAGACAGCCCTTGTATACAAAGGTGTGAAAGCATGGCTGTTAGATGGGGGATTAATTTAATGGAAAGATGGCTGAAGTATGCCTTAAGAAATGTTTTAAACTTTGAAGTGTATTATATTGTGTATGTAAAACATGTTTTAATTCTAGCAGAGTCATGAACTAGACTTAGGATTAAGGCTAGAGATATTCTAGTTAGATCATAGAAAGATTAATAGTTACTGAAAATCTATAGTCTAGGAAAGCTTACAAAGGGATGGTTTAAGTACAGTTAAGTTATAAACATACGTGATTGATTATCTAAGTGCTTACAGAATAAATGCATTTTATATTCTGTTTGCCCTGTTTTTAAAAATTATTTGTGTATGAATGTGAAGAAGTAATTTTATTCAGTAACTCTGATTTTTTAAACATAACCTAAACCTTTGACTTGCTCAGTTTACCAACATTTTAAATATCACAATAGCATATGATCTGTCCCATAACATTAATACTTGATGACCAATAGGGAACAACATTGAAATTTAGATGCCGAGCTGTCAGCTTGGCTTACTCACTAGTGAATTAATCATCCCTAAATATATGCCAAAAAAATATATTTCATTCAAATTCATGCTTACAGGTTGAGTATCCCTTATCTGAAATGCTTGGGAGCAGAAGTATTTCAGATTTCAGATTTTTTACGATTTTGGAATGTTCTTACCTGTTGGGCATCCCAAATCAGAAAATCTGAAATCCAAAATGCTCCAACAGGTATTTCCTTTGAGCATCATATTGGCGCTCAAAAAGTTTCAGATATTAGAGCATTTTGGAGTTCAGATTGCTGGATTTGGTATGTTAACCTGCATATACATATTGTGGATTTGGAGGGTTACTCTTGGGAAGCTGAACCCATCCAGATTAAATCCACAAATGTCTGTATATATTCTAACTTCTCATGACTCAGTGATTTTCAGAAAATAGGATATAAATATAATCATTGTTTATACTAAAGTGATCTGAAAGACACATTAAGATAAACCTTAAGATAATGACCATACTTAACCGTGTTGTGTTATGTTACCTGGAAGTAGTTTTCAGCAATCTCAGGGGCCCTGGTTAACTTAATACTATTTTCTATTTGTTTGTTTGTCTTTTTATTTAGAAATGATTATAGATTCTCCTTAACTTGCAAAGATAATACAGAGAGGTCCTGTGAACCCTTCACCTAATTTTCCCTAATGGTTAGATCTTATATACCTATAGTATAATATCAAAACCAAGAAATTGATACTGTTTCAGTATGTGTATGTATCTGTGCATTTTAATCACATGCGTAATCAAGATACAGAAATATTCCGTCACCACAAAGATCTCTCTCATACTGCCCTTCTATAGTTGAATCCATCCTTAATATCAGCCTCATCAATATCCCTAACTCCTGACAATGACTACTTTGTACTTCATCTCTATAATTTTATCATATCAAGACTTATATAAATGGTATCATACTATATATGTGATCTTTTGAGATTGGCTTTTTTCACTCAGCAAAATGCTTTTGAGTTACATCCAAGTTGTCATGTGTATCAATAGTTGTTCCTTTTTATTACACAGTAGTATTCCATGGTATGGATGTACCACAGCTGTCTAACCATTCACTTATTGCAGGACATTTTAGTTGTGTCTAGGTTTGGCTATTACAAATAAAGCTGCTATGAACACTGTGTTTCGGTTTTTGTGTGGACCTAAGTTTTCATTTCTCTAGGATAAATGCCCAGGAGTGCTGTTGCTAGGTCACATGGTAAGTTTGTGTTTAATTTTTTAAGAAACGGCCAAACTCTTATCCCAAATGTCTGCACCATTTTATATTCCTCCCAGCAATGCGTGAGAGATCAAGTTTTTCTGCATCCTCACCGGCATTTGGTATTATCACTATTTTTTATTTTAGGTGTTCTGATAGATGTGTGGTAGTATATCTCATTGTTGTCTTAATTTCCATTTCCCTGATAGCTAGTTATCTTGAATATCTTTTCAGGTGCTCCTTTGCCATCAAATACTGTATATCCTCTTTGGTGAAATATCCCTTCATGTCTTTTTTTTTTCCTCGACACAAGGAAACAATTTTTTTTCCATTTTCTAATTGGATTTTTAAAAATTATTGTAGAACTTTGGGGGTTCTTTATATAATCTAGATATGAGTCCTTTGTCAGCTAAATGGTTTGCAAATATTTTCTGCCAGTTTATGGCTTATCTTTTCATCTCCTTCACAGGATATTTCACAGAGCAAAGTTTTTAATTTTGATGAAATGTAGTTTGTCAGTGATCGTTTGTTTGTTTTGATCACGCTTTTGACGTTAAGTCTAAGAACTTGTCCCCAAAGCCCTGGGTCCTAAAGATTTTCTCCTGTGCTGTGTTCTAAAAGTTTTATAATTTTACATCTTATATTTAGGTCCATGTTGCATCGTTAATTTTTGTATAAGGCGTGAAGTTTAGTTAAAGGTTTATATTTTGGGCTGTGGATGTCCAGCTGCTCCAGCCTGCTTTGTTGAAAAAGCAATCCTTCCTTCACTGAATTGCTTTTGTACCTTTATGAAAAATCAGTTGGCTATACTTGTGTGGGGCTGTTTCTCAGTTCATTATTCTTTTCCATTGATCCATATGTCTGTCCTTCTGTCATTACCACATAGCCTTGATTACTATAGCTATACAGTAAGCCTTAATATCACATTGATTGATTCTTCTCACTTTATTCTACTTTTTATGGATAATTTTAGCTAGTCTAATTTCTTTGGTTTTTTCAACATAAATTTTAGAATAATATTGTCTATATCTACAAAAATTTTAGAGAGATTTTAGTAGGAATTGTTTTAAATCTGTTATTTGTGGAGAATTGATATTTTTACTATATTGAGTCTTCTGATCTTTGAACACAGTATGGGTATCTCTCCATTATTTGATTTCTTCCATCAGTGTTGGTAGTTTTCAGCATACAAGTCCTGTATATCTCTTGTTGGATTTATACTTAAGTATTTCTCTTTCTTTTAGTGATTATAAATGATTTTGGTTTCCATGTGCTCATTGCTTACATATAGAAATGCAATTGATTTTTGTTTTGATCTTTTGTCTGTGATCTTGCTGACCTCATTTGTTTTAAGAGTTTGTTTTGTAGTTTCCTTGGGATTTTCTCCACATAGACCATTATGTTTTCTGCAAGTAGGAATAGTTTTATTTCTTCCTCTCTGATCTATACGTTTATTTCCTTCTCTTGCCTTATTGCACTGGTTAGAACTTCAGTAATATGTTGAGTAGCAGTGGTGAGAGTAGACCACTTGCCTTCTTCCTGATCTTAGGAGAAAAGCATTCAGCCTTCATTAACTATGATGTTAGCTGTAGGTTTTTTTGTAGATACTCTTTATCAAGTTGAGGAAGTTCCCCTTTGTTCCTAATTTGCTGAGAGTTTTTATTATGAATGGATGTTTAATTTTGTCGAATACTCTTTCTGCCTCATTTAGTATCATCTGTTTTTTCTTCTTTAGCCAGTTAATGTGGCGTGTTACATAGA